TACTCCTGTAGCAAATGTATTGCTAGTGTTTCCTTTGCCTCATTAACTGTTCTCTGTGGTATTTTTTAGGTCACACTGGAAACCTAACACAAATTATAAATTGTTTCCTGGATAAACTAGGTGCCAAATGGAACATAAGGTAGGCTTCTTGGGTAAATTCAGCTCCTACCTATTCGAGTATTGGCAAATACATCAGCTAGAGACCCACTGGTTCCTTTGACCTCTCCGTGGGACAGCGAAGATGCAGATGAAGAGGTGGACGATCCCTGAATTGAGCGGTTGATCCAGGACTCAGCATTCTGTAAGCTGTGTTGCAAGGCAGCAGAGAGCGCAGCTTGGCGTCACAGAGAGCCCTCATCCTCAGAGGCGGAAGACGTGTCTGTGTGAATTAGAAAAAAAGAAGTTCTTGATCCTGCCTAAAGCATAGACTTTTCAGTTCTTGCTCACTGATTAGACAACCAATGTTGACGCCAGGAAAACATTCACAGTCTCAAGATAGATTAACAGGTGCAATTTCTCAAGAATCTCAGAATAAACTTATGGGCCCAAACTTGTAGAGTAAAACAGTTGAACTCTGAAGACTATCTTAAGTTTTTTAAAAAACCTTTTAAGAACCTTTAAACTTCACTATTTTCTTGTTAATCAATATCTAAGTTCTTCCAGTTTATCTACTTATGGATCTTTCTCAATCTCTTAATTAGAGACCTTGTGGCAGGTTGCCGCATGAATTCTTACAAGCACTTGTTTCCACTTAAAAGGAAATGATGACAACAGGGAAATATTAACTTCAATACTTATGTGCTGAACAGAGAGCTAAGTGATGGAGAACTGAAGTGGGGAAAGAAACAGTCCTTGGTCTGGGGGCACTGGTTGCTTCACTGGACAAGCCAGCAGGTCCCATGGCACAGGTGAGCTTTCCAATCGTGAAGGGAGGGAATTGCATTTGAGTTTCATTCCTCCTCAGAGAACTGTGAGAAATTCACTGGTACCTACATTAAGGCTGGCTGTGACTCTAGTAAACTAGGCCTAAATTAGAAAAGCATACTGAAAAAAAAAAAAAAAGTTCAACCAAATATAGGTAAACCAAAGCTGGAGGAAAGAAAAGTCAGAAATATGTCAGTCTCAGTCTTAAAAGCTACAAGGCAAACACTCACTGGTCTGATGTGGGACAAACCTTCTAAAGGACTTTGAGTTCCTATAATTAATGATCTATGGGTTGAATGAATCCCTTTAATTATTTATTGATTTTTGTTTGTTTGCTGTGCTGCTGAGATTAGAACCCAGAGCCTCCACATTCTATGTAAATTACCTTCTACATCCCCAGTCCCATTCAGCTTTTAAAAACTATTTTATTGTTCCAGGCCAGCTACAACTACAGGGAGACCCTGTCTCAAAAAGACCGAAAAAAAAAAATATATATATATA